CCTTTTAGCTCTATGATTACATCATGTTACAGACGTCTATCATGGTATATTTTCATTTGGACCAGGTACACACATTTACATTTTTACTGATATAAGTAATCAGAAACTGGTCACCATAGCAGAACAGAAGCTTGTCACACATAACCAGTCTGTACCCACAACAGAAGTCTGGCACACAAACTGGTTTTAAAATGGTGGAACCCATTTTAAAACCAGTCTGAGATTTTGGTCTAAGATTTGCCCTCCGCCCCCCTTCTCCCCTCAAAGGGCAAATACATGTTATGTTCGCTACCAATCTAAATTATGCTGCTTACAGAAAACTGCGTAACTCAGATTGATTATGCCTCAGGTTTCTGAATGTCTGTACCTAGACTTGCTGTTTCAACTGAACAGCCATAATCTTTTCTCTCTCCTTTTTTGATTATAAGGCTTTCCGTGCCTCTTGTCTTTTTTCATATTATTTCACTGAATCTACTTCAGTTAAATCTTTACGTCTTAAGATTTCCAAACATTTTCATAGCACAGTTCCCAATTTGAGACTGACTGTGCATGGACCATCTTCCTTCCTATTAATGATCAAATACCATCTCTATAGCCAATGCAGCAATTACTTCCAAGTGAAACTAATGTTACAAAATGGTTCAATGTATTTTATTATCTCTTAAATTGATTTGCTAGCTGGGAACAAGGAGGAAAGTCAACAGCATGAGGCTAGCCAACTGACTTTGGACCCCCAGCAAGTGCTTTGCAGATTGCAGTTTGAAAATAACATCTCTACACAGGAAGTCACTTGCACAGCTGATCTTCTGCCCTGTTTTCTGACTACCAGGTGCATATCCTTCCTTTTTAATCAAGGGCATCTGGAACTTGCACATATGGCTGATTCATGGCTCAAGTACTTCAGTCTCACATGTCTTTTACTTTTCTCATTCTTAATTGATCAGACAATGGAAAAAAAAGAAATCCACTGGATGAATTTATAAAACTTTAAAATTACCGAACTGCTTTTTAAAAAATATGATTTGCTGTTTAAAATCACTAAGCCTTACAATCTACAGATATGCATTGATTTCTAAATGGTAGTGTACTTTATGTAAAGCTATTGTGCTATATTGCATATTTAATCATTCAACATAATTTATTAAATCTAACAAAAAACCACCATGTAATCACAAGCACAAATGAAGAGAATTTAAACTTCTGCTTTCCGCATTAATGCAACAAGTTCTGATTTATGAATGCCCTGTTTTTCAATAGGAACATTTGCAAGGAATTTCCTTGGGTGCAGGTGAAACAGGAGGGAATAAATGCTGCTTATGGGGCTTGGATGGTCTGCCCAGTGAAGCAATTTAGCTTGGTAACTCTCAAATATAGCCTCTGCAAGCTAGTCAAAATAGAGTTTCAACCATCTCCCTCCTCAACTTCTGGACCACGTCTAAAAATCTAAGCAAACTGTGACCAATTCAAGGAATCTCAAACTTTCTGGTATGCTCTAGTTTTAGATTTCACTGGGGAAAAATTGAGACCAAGATGCAAATGTTAAACACTCAACTTTTAAATGACTTAAGGAATAAGCCCTGAAGAAAAAATGTTTAATGAGGTGTATAAAACAAGTCAACTCTGAAGTTTCTAATGTCAAATGTTATTGAATTGTCTGTATTTTATTAACAGAACATAGAGAAGAAAGTCTTTTTCATGTATTCTTAACTCAAAAACAGCCCCTCTAATTTTGTCAAATTTTCCAAATTGCCTCTGCACTCCATGCATGCATGGAACATTTAAGCTCTAAGGGATTAGGTACGAGACTACTATGAGCAATAGTAAAAAAAAAAAAAAAAAAAGGAAGAGGGTGAATAGAAGCTGGAACAACAACCTTAAGTACAACAACAGAAGCTATGCCAGAAGGAGATTTATGACTCAAAATGTATCTTTAGAAGAAAAAAATTTTCATGCTTAAAATAATGGTTCCAGAAAAAGTTACATTGTTAATATCTTAAAGATCTTTCCACATTAGTCTTTAACACTAACCTTGGAAAAGAGAGGGCTGGATGCTGCTGACATATTGGAACGCATTCTTAAAGAAGACCAACATTGTTGAATAGACTACTTGATTCTTATACTTAGCATGGGCTTCACTATCAAAGTTACTAATGTATCTGCAAAGGTCTTTCATTCTGTGTAAGATATCACCAAAACTTCTGAGGGATAAAAAAAAAAAAAAAAAAAATT